CTGCTCAAGTTCCTTTTCTGGCAGCATCCTGATGTCTCTGCGGGTATGGAGGGAGGGAATGTTTGGTATCTGAGTTCTGCAAAGGCCCCAGTGCTATCACAGAGTGGCCTCATGGCTGAGAATCACAGAACTGAGATTGGAAAAGACCTGCAAGGTCATCGAGTCCAACCTGTGACCGATCCCCACCTTGTCACTGAATTTTCTCAGCTGTGTGTTCACACAGGGTCTGACTGCACATTCCCCAGAATAGCAGGAGTAACTTCTAATATTTAATTTCATAGTCTCTGCAGCCTAAAATTTGGTAAAGTTTTCCTGTCTCTGATTTGGAAACAAAGGATGTCATCACTTAATACCAATAGCTTGCATATTTATGTGGAAAAATGAAACCAGAGCAACTGAAGTCCTTTCCTGCTTTTTGCTTTATCCACTTGACTACAAGCCTCCCCTGGAAATCAGGCTGTTCAGTTCTGGTGTTATTTCAGGGCTTGTTTTGTCTTTCTGAGTTTTCCCCATAGTTTCATTTCCAATTGGCGATCTCTGTTTAAATATTGTAAAACACAAAGTTCTTCTAAGCCAAGGGTTTTGGTCTCATTGACTTGGGTTTTGATTATAAAGCCTATGGATCTTCTCGGTGATTTGGAAATCTCTCCAGGGGAGGCTCAGCCTTTTATGTAACAAACTCAGTTTACAATCTGCTAAATAATTTCATGCACAGTATGAAGAGATGGGAAAATAGGCCTTTCCTTATAAGTGGTATAGAGGAAGCAATTCCCACGTGAATGGTTTGTAAAGCAGTTGGAGATGTGCAGGTTCAGTGCTGTGAAATCCAGGTGCATTCCAAGGGCAGTTGGCCATTTTTTCTCTCTGCTGCCCAGCCATTGCTCACACAATTAACTGAGAGCCAGGGTAAATGATGAAATTTTGCAACTAAGCAGAATCTGAAGGCAAATGCATTGCTTTGACTTACCAGAAGCGGTGACTTTTGTTTTTATAATGATTCCTGGTTACACTAATAAATGGTCCCCAGTGTCTTCTGTAGAGTAACCACATTCTAATGAAATACCTCACACCAGTGACTCTTATTAAATATTCTGTGAAAATGAAAGTGATAGAATAATTGTTTGTGCTACTGCTGAGGATATAATTAACAAGGTTTGAGTGTAGCTGTTGTCAGAATTAGCACACTTTTCATGTGAAAATCCCTGTTCACAGTGTTAGACTCCTATTTCACCTGTATTCACTGTTTGCAGTTGATCAAGATAATGTAACAGTTAATGAGCAATTGGCCTTGCCTGAGTTATATTGAATTTCAGGGTAAATTCAGGTTAGATGAATGGAAGAAATTCTTCCCTGTGAGGGTGGTGAGGCCCTGGCACAGGCTGTCCAGAGAAGCTGCCCCATCCCTGGAAGTGCTCAAGGCCAGGTTGAACAGAGGTTGCAGCAACCTGATCTAGTGGAAGGTGTCCCTGCCCAGGGCAGGGGGGTGGAACTGGATGGGCTTTAAGGCCCCTCCCTGATTTTATGAATTATGTTGAATCATGTGAGTACTTTGTCGAATTCCACTGCAAAGAATGCTCAGAGAAAAACAAATCTCCAACAGCAGCAGAAGGGTGGGGTTTATTCAGGGAATCACTGACTGTGTGTGCAGCAATATCCCATCAGCTCCTTCCTTCCTTCTGCTTGGCATGAACTGTAGGTTTGCTACCACCAAAACCTGCCTCATTTTAAAACCTTTGTCAGGGTTCACAGATGAAGGCACATGCTTGTCCAAAGTAAAACTGAAACAATGGAATTCAGGAACCAACACAAGTTCTGAGCTGGAGGAGCTGACATTGGAATACAAAACAAACTCGATGAGGTGCAGGCTGAAAGCTGGAATCTGAGCTATTTTTAAGTAGACAGTCGCAGCTGTGGTGAAAAGCTGAGATGTTTTTTCACTGATAAATGCAGAGATAGTGGCCAGCTGGTAGTCAATTCACAGGTGTGGAAAGGTGGATGAAAAGCAGCGTGCAGCTAAAATAGCTGAACTTGACAGATCTGCAGATAGATTTTAGGTGACGTTGATTTTTCTGAGCAGCAACAGATCCTAAAAGGGATCTGAGCTGAATTTGCATTTGAGATCAAAGTCCTGGCAATGTGCTGTTGGGAAAAGTGGGCAAAATGTGCCACACGAGGCATGTGTGTTTGCATTAGCAGGGTGGAAGCATATTCCATAAATACAGGTGCTGAGGAAACCACTGATTTGGCAGCTGTGATGCCCTGACGAGGCCGGAGGAAGGAAGCATCCTGCCAGCTGGCAAAGGCAGCTCCTGCCCAGGAAGATAAAGCAGCAAGTGTCCCTGCAGAGTGTGGGGACAGTCATGGAATGAATACAGGGCTGGGTAGGTTTATGTGTGAGTATTCAGTGGGGGGTTGTGGTGTGGACTGAGGTGTATTTCAGCTAAAGGAGGGATTTCTTGGTCAGGGATGTGTGAGTGATGGACTTGGGGAAATTTGTACACCAGGATCTGTTTTTCATGAAGGTTTTGGGTTGCCTCTCTCTGGGTTTAATACTCCCGAATTGAACTCGCTGGCTGCCACCTCACTGGGACAGGTGGTTAGTGCAGGTCTTTGCAGAGGAGGAGGGAAGTTTGGGGTTGGGGATGGGTGGAGTTGAGAATCGTAGAAGCACAGAATATCCAGAGCTGGAGGGGACCCACAGGGATCTTCGAACTCCAAGCCCTGGCCCTGCACAGCACACCCCAACAATCCCAGCATGTGCCTGAGAGCATTGTCCAAATGCTCCTTGAGCTCTGGCAGCCTTGGGGCCGTGACCACTGCCATGGGGAGCCTGTTCAGTGCCTGATTACCCTCTGGGGGAAGAACTTTTTCCTAATATAGGAGGTCATAGCTGATATTTGAGGTCACAGTTGATCTCAAGGCTCCTGACTCGGTGGCTGTGTCATATCTATAACCTCCTTTTTAGTCCGTACCCTTCGGAGTCTGCAGGAGATGCCCTTTTATAATTGGGAAATAACAAATTACTCAGGCGAACTGTCGGGCTGTGCCTCTGCAAGTTGTTTTTTTCCCTTTTCCAGCTGCATGCACAACGTGCCTTTTTGTGACAGTGTGTACAATAGCTGGGAATCCAGGGATGCTTGGCCGGGCGGCGCTGCGGGGCCGGGACAGCGGCGGGTTCCGTGGGAGCGGCCGCCACCTGGCGGGGCCCGCCCGCGCTGCACCCGCCGGCCGGGAACGCGGGATCTGGGAATCACGGAGTCCTTGGGGCTGCGAAACCTCCGAGATCAGCGAGTTCAACCTGCGACCGATCCCCACCTTGTCCCCCAGCCCAGAGCGCCGAGTGCCACGTTCCTTGAACACCTCCGGGGATGGGGACTCCACTGCCTCCCTGGGCAGCCCCTTCCAATGTCTGACAGCCCTTTCCAGGAAGAACTTCTTCCTGATGTACAACCTGAACCTCCCCTGGTGCAGCTTGAGGCCATTTCCCCTTGTCCTGTCCCCTGTTCCCTTGGAGCAGAGCTCGACCCCACCTGGCTCCCTCCTCCTGTCAGGGAGTTGTAGAAAGCGAGAAGGTGTCCCCTGAGCCTCCTTTTTTACAGGCTGAGCCCCCCCAGCTCCCTCAGCTCATAGGACTGATTCTCCAGACTCTTCCCCAGCTCTCCTGCCCTTCCTGGACACACACAGGGACCCTCGGCCTCCTCAAAGGCTGGGCAGGACCTCAGTTGGCCTCGTGGTCTCTTTGGATCCATTCCCAAGGGTGACCCATTGTCAGCACCATTCACATTGCTGGTGCTGTTAAAACAATTAGAAAAAAAAGTTTTCATAGAATTTATTGTTTCTAATTCACAATGCTGCCTCTCCTCTGGGCAGCCAAGGGTGCTGAAACTCTGGGAAATAATCCAGAGCAGTATTTAGGTGTCAAAGAAAACATAAGTGGGACTTGATGTAAATTCTTTGCTGTGAGGGTGGTGAGGCCCTGGCACAGGTTATCCAGAGAAGCTGTGGCTGCCCCATCCCTGGAAGTGTCCAAGGCCAGGTTGGATGGGGTTTGGAGCAATCTGGTCTAGTGGGAGGTGTCCCTGCCCAGGGCAGGGAATTGGAACGAAAGGATGTTTAAATCTCTTCCAACCCAAACCAATCTGTGATTCTATGACTTGTGCTCTTAAGTGGTTTCAGAAATCCAGTTGTCACTGTCCATATCCAGCAAACCCACTGCTGCAGTGGGACACATCTCTGCCGACCACCTGCACTGGCTGGGCGGACCACGCTGGGCATCCTCTCCGTATCATGCAGCTGCTGCTGCCTGAAGGACAACACGACAACAGGTATTTAATGTTTCATTACTGTTCAGCAAGTGGCTGGAGCAGGTGGACTGTCTGGAGTGCAGTTCATTCTGTCAGGGCAGGATCTGCAGCAGCACCCGCACCAAGGAGGTGCCGCTGGTTCCTCCGCTGTACAGACAAACAATGCGTCAACCAGCCTTCAGACCGGAGTCCGCCTATCACTGGCAGGAATAGATCAATATCTTGCATGAAATATATCAATACATGGCTTCGGGCAGCAGCACCGTGTGCTAAACCCTAGTACTGGCCAGAGGAAGAGGGACATCCACCTCTGCCAGCCCCGGCTCCCCTCACCGACCCCCGGCCCCCTCAGCCCCCGGCTCCCCTCACCGATCCCCCGGCTCCCCTCACCCCCGGCTCCCCTCACCCCCGGCTCCCCTCACTCCTCGACTCCCCTCAGCCCCCGGCTCCCCTCATCGATCCCCCGGCTCCCCTCACCGACCCCCGGCTCCCTCACCGACCCCCGGCTCCCCTCACCGACCCCCGGCTCCCCTCACCGACCCCCGGCTCCCCTCACTCCTCGACTCCCCTCACTCCTCGACTCCCTCACCCCCGGCTCCCCTCACCCCCGGCTCCCCTCACCCCCGGCTCCTCACCCCTGGCTCCCCTCACCCCCCGGCTCCCCTCAGCCGCGGCCGCCCCCCGGCCCCACCGCAGATGGAGCGCGGCCGCCGCAGCCGCCCGCCCGTGTCCCTCGTGTATGTGAACAGCTTCGGCTCGCACCGCTGCGGCTCCGTGATCCGCCTGGGCCGGAGGTCCCGGCAGAGCTCCGGGCAGAGTCCCCCTGGCCCGGCCGGGAGCCCCAGGGCCGCCCCGGAGTCGCAGGACGAGCCCAGCCCCGGCCCGGGGAGCTGCCGTGTGGGGAGACCCGGCAGCCGCCCCCCCGGTAGGTGTCAGAGATCCCGGGCACGGCTCAGCACAGGGCTGTGCCCCCCGCCTGTCCCTTTCCAGGGGTGGCCTTTGGGTATTGTCCCACCGGGACCTCCCTCGCTATCTGAGGGGTGGAGATGGCTCACAAGAATTGTCTTAATTGTCTGTATCAGCAATAATGTGACAGCAGGACCTGGGCAGTGATTGTCCCTCTGTGCTGGGCACTGCTGAGGCACCTCAAGTGCTGTGTCCAGTTCTTCCCCAGGGAAGGGCAACAGAGCTGGGGAAGGGTCTGGAGAGTCAGTCCTGTGAGGAGCAGCTGAAGGAGCTGGGAGTGCTCAGCCTGGAGAAAAGGAGGCTCAGGGGAGCCAGGCAGGGGTCGGGCTCTGCTCCCAGAGAACAAGGGACAGGACAAGAGGAAACAGCCTCAAGCTGTGCCAGGGGAGGTTCAGGTTGGACATCAGGAGGAATTTCTTCCTGGAAGGGGCTGCCCAGGGAGGTGGTGGAGTCCCCATCCCTGGAGGTGTTCAAGGAATGAGTGGATGTGGCACTTGGTGCTCTGGGCTGAGTGACAAAGTGGTGTTTGATCAAAAGGTTGAACTCGATGATATTGGAGGTGTTTTCCAACCTCAGTCATTTTGTGATTCTGTGGTTTAATGTGCCCAGCACAGTTGGACTGGGTGTTAAACTTACATTGGTGAAAAATTCAAAAGAATGTACAATCACAGAATGGTTTGAGTTGAAAGGGACCATAAAAATCATCTCATTCCAACCATCCGCCATGGACAGGGACACTTTCACTAGACCAGGTTGCTCAGAGCTGCATCCAGCCTGGCCTTGAACACTTCCAGTGATCAACCACTTCCTTAGGAATATATCATAAGTACTCAAAAAATGCTTTCTAATTTCTCTTTCTAGGTGACCAAGAGGCTAAGGCTAAAGCTCACCCCTTTGACTTTCCCATCCCTTCAAAAAATGTTGATAAAGTCATAAAACGGAAGAAGAAAAAGGTATAAAATGGGGGAGCTGAATTAGCTGCCATGGAATTTGAGAAAACTGCTTCCTGCTTGTTCTGTGTGTGAGAGAGCATGAGGGAGATTAAAAGATGGAATTGGTAGCCTGTTACTGAAATCCTTACTTACAGAAAAGAAAAAATGGTATTATTTTCCCTCTCTGGAGGCTTTAAAATCCTGGCTCTTATTCAACAAAGCACTTAAGTGTGTGCTTACCTTGAAAAATGAGAGTACGCTATTGACTTAAAGCCTGTACTGAAATGCTTTGCTGGATTTGGGCCAGGGCACTGCACACCTTGTGGGTGAAACCCAGCAGGAGAAAGCTCTGCAGCTCCTCTTCCTCTCATGTTTTAAACAAAGAAATCCCACAGGTTACAAATAAGCAAAGGCAGGAATCAGAGGTATTAACACCGTCCCTGTAGCAAGGCAAAATTGCTTTCTGCTTCAAAGATGTATTTCTGTTCCTGTTCATTAGTTTTACAAATGCTTGAAATTTTAAAAGAGACATTTATTTAACGGTAACTTGTTATGAGATTTTGTAATGTGTGAAGTACAAGTAATCAGCCTGACTGGAATAGAGTAATGTCATAGATACTTGATTTGAAAACAGCAAAATGCTACTGACTGCAGAGGAACAGCTAATAACATCCTAGAACATCACTCTGCTGGTGCATCAAATAGTCTTCAAGAAGAATGAGGAATGTGTGTTATGTTTTAGCTATAAATGTCCATGAGAAAGGAACTGTCTTTAAACTAGATTCACAAATGGGGTCCAGCAAAAGTCCAAACTTCAGTGTGTCAACAGCCATTTCTGTTTGTTAGGCCACCTCTGTCTGGGTGCCTTTATCAACAGTTCCAATTTAATCTTTTCAATGCCCAAGTCTGAAATATGCCGACTACAGACATAGCTTTATGCCTTTAAAATAAAGGTTATCAACATCTATAAAACAGATTAATATGGATTTGATATGAAATAAGCAACACCACTCTGAAACCCGAGCATGGGGCCTGATTTATGGTGCTGTTGAGGGATCACATGGGAAAGTTTTTGCTCCTGGAAAAATAAACAATCTTATTTTTCCCCATTATGGATAACTTTGAAGAGAGCTTAATGGCTCTACACACATTTTCATAAGCTTTTCTTATCTAGAAGGGCACTTCACAAGTCCTGAATAAACACAGAGTTCTAGGCAAGAAAGGAGGAGGAGATCTCATGTGGAAATTCGTGGAGGAATTTATGGCTTTGACTTAGAGGCAACTCTTCCAGTATCCCACATATATATCCCTTCTTCACTTCTCCTTCCCACTCCTCAACAAAAAAAACCCAGCTAGGCTTCATAGTCATTGTGTAGCATTTAAAGCTCTGCCCTATAGATGTTTTAATGCAAACTTTTTATATGCTTCACATTTCATCTTTCAGTCCAAAGTCTGGCATAAGGTCTGGAAAGTCATTTCAAAAATGCTTGAAGAAAATGAAAGGTTCAGAAGTCGACTGTTGGCCTGCAGTCAGCTGGATGGAGAAGGTAGGAAATGAACTGATAATGTTTTATTTTACTAGAAAAAATATTAATACAACTGGTTTGACTCAAGATCCCAAAGTTTAAGGTCCATTCAGCTGTTTGTTTTGGGTAGTAGGTTTTACAACTCACAAATGGAATTCATTGCATACTTTAGACACTTCCAGCCTTATTTGAAAAGCCCCTTATGTTTCATTGAGGATCTTATATGTATTAATTTGGAGGAAGGATGGTGGAAGTGTTTGCTGCAATCTGACATTAAAGACATGAACATAAAACATCTGCAAATTGTACTCAACATGTGAAATGTGTGACTGAACTTACTCACAGATCGGTCCAAGGCACTACTTGTATGAATAATAATTTATTTTTCCACATAGAAAAATAGAGGCTGGTTTCATACCGACAATAAATAAATGAGATGCTCCCCAAAGGCTGCTGTAACACAATTTAACATAACCATCGAGCATGTTCTCACACTGTGCTCTGAATTCAGCTGTTTCATTACTGGAAAATGACTCGGGAATTGAAACTGGTGCTGTGCATTCAGCCAACTTCAATTAGAGACATTGTAGTTGCTGCACAATTTAAGATAATACAGTGTATGCTTACAAATGGAATTGGAATTTCTAGCCTCACAGTCTGATGAATTTTTAGGAAAAAGAATATGCTAATCCATGAAGAGTTATCAGGCAAGTTACAAAATGACATGTACACACAACACTTCTGCTTCGCTTGCATTTGTGTTGATGGAAGTTTTCCACATGAAGGCACATATATCCCAAAATGTGGCCCATTCCTGCCAGTATCTTATTTTGTAAAATGTTAGATTAGATTTCCACCTAGGTGACAACAAAATACTCCCTCAAAAATTTTCTTCGTGAGAACAAAAGAAGTGCAATTCTGATTCAGAACAGAAATCTCTACCCCAGTGAATGTCCCCTGAAACCTACAGTGGATGTTACTGGATTAGGAGAAGAAATTCTACAATGTGCTTCAACAATGTATTTTGCACTTATTTTGCAAATATTTTGCATTATGTGGATAAAAATTTCTTTTGTTGGCTATAAAACCAACTCCTGATTAATTCTGGAATTATGACATGATGGGTGTTCATTATGTGCTATTCATATTCTTTTTATCAGTTGAGATTCCATTGGCCTCTGCCATATTTCTATGCTAAAAAGTTCCAGTCTACTAAAATCTCTCCTCATATGGACACTGTTCCACATGCTCTCTCCTACGGCTTAGATCACTGCACAAGTGTTTGTGCACAGCTATGAATGTATATGTTGGACAAAAACAAATATGTAAGATACACACATCTATGGATATGTAGGATAGTGAATTAAAAAAAAATCTTCCTGGATTTTTTTTGTTTGCTATCAAGAAAAAGGAGAACAAGGGACAAGGAAAAAGGAGGAGAAATCTTCGACAGGTTATTGCCTCAAACATTTCAAATTATTGAAAAAAAAACCAAACCCAAACCCCAAAATTCTGCTTATAGATGATATCCTTACTATAATGGTTTCTCTGTTTGTTATGGATGCACAATGTGCTGCTTAAGCTTGTACTTATGGACAGAGCCTGTTTCCTTTTCAGACAATCATTTCTTTTTTGAGGGAGAGCATTTTCTTTATACATAATTCCCAGTGACTTAAAAAACCCCACCAACCAACCACCCACCCAGCCAAACCCTCTCCCCTCTCCACTTACTCTGTCCTTAATTGTAATTGTAATTGTACCTCATTTTTCTGGAGCTTCAGCTGAGAATCTGTTATTAAGCCCTATTTAGGTGAAAAGCATCAAGTCTAATAACTTCTTTCTAATTAGCAGATTTTGCACAACATCAAATCTAGGAGATAATTCTCCTATTGATCTGAAATTTTCATTAATCAAGAAGCAAATGGAATCATATGAGCAGACATTTAGATATGGATCAACAAATTTGAATAAACTGGGTTCACTTTTATCTTTTTTTTTTTCCTGGATTAACAACGCTAGAAAATTAATGTTGCATTTTATTGTATCTATAAATGGGTTTTCTTGAGGACAAAAAAAAAAAGTCTACTTGAATTCTAATGCTCCCTATTTACTCCTTGGAATGTTGCAATTAAGATTAGATTCAATGTGACTGAAAATGATGATTTGCTTCCACATAATGTTCTCCCACAGGCTCTGGTATGAACCAAACTTCACAGAATGGGGCATACCTGGACAGGGTATGTATACAGTCCATTAACTGCCAAGCAAGCTTAAATACTGAAAGAAACAAATTAATATTAAAAAAGATGCACTGATCTTGTTTAATGTTATAATAATAAGTGACAGTTGGAAAATTAAATATTATTGACATTGAACTCAAATTTTTTTCAAGATTTCAATGGTGTTTGGGGACTAGAACAGCTCCATCCTCACAGAAAGGACTGTGTGCTTTGCCAAGGCTGGGAGGTGGATTTTGTCTTATTATTGTGCTAAATCTTTAAGTAAAATCTGAGGAATCTGAATATTCTTTATTTGACTCACTTTAAATAGAGAGGTTTTTTCTATTAAAGGGAATGCACCACTTCTCTTTTGTCACTTTTTTCTCCAGGAGGAGTCCATATTTGGCTGGGTGTAGCAAGAAAATAAAGGAAGATTCAGTGCAAAAGGAAATATAAAAGTAATGAAAGCTCTTATTTTGATCTAGTTCTTCCTGAAGTCAGCAGTGAGACTGCAAGTGACTTCAGTGAACACAGGTTCTCTGTTGTTTGGTTGGTGTTTGTGCTTCTGCTGTTTAAGAGGTTTGTTTTTACAGTGGCTTAAACAGCTCTGTTGCAAGATATTTATTTCAAGCCATTAAGTCTAGTGTTTCACTGAGCTATTAGTTTTCGAAAGCTTTTTAATGAGCATAATATTGTGACAGTTTTCTTGCAAAAGAAAAGATACACATTTAGTGTTGTCTCTGTATTTATATCTTTTATTTTTGTAGCTTGTCAGAATAATAAACAAACACAAATTCGGTAAGGCAGAACTCCACACATGATAGAAACCCTACTTTTTTTCTTACTGATTTGAATAAATTTGACTTTCTTATATTGAAATATTACACAATAACCCTCTCTGTTCATTCATCCATTTATACATGAATCTCAGCAAGTATTTTGAATATGAAACCAGGTGAATGTTTTCTGTTACGGATTCAGTGTTACTGTTCACTGGGAGGCACACAATGGTATCATCATAATCAGAAGGTGTTGTTTATCTATCTGTCTTCAATAACACTGTACAATGTTCTTGTGTTAGGAAATTTAGTACTTGAACTCTTGATTGACTGTTAAAGCCTTTAAAACAAGCAAATAGTGTAAATGGAACGTGAAAACTGCATAAAAATTGTTATGTATATGGATTTCATCTCTTGAGCTAAAATGTTCACCTGTCACAATTAGACATCCTTAGCTTCAATAAAAGAATTGTTTTCTCATGGCATAATATCTTGGTGTTTGCAGATATAAAGACTGGAATGTCAGAGTGTTGAGCTTTAATAACATGCTGGTGATTGTGTCATTAAGCAGCAGTGCATTTGGAAGGGTTTCTTCTCTGTTTTTTAATAGTAAAACTGAAGGTGTATAACTGAAGGTGTATAACTGCAATGTACCTTTTTGAGGACAGCTCTGGCATCAAGGTTCTTTTCTGATTTGTGGTTGGGTAATATTCTGATTTTACTTAAAATAGTTGACATTTCAGCTTGGAAAAGGAAATGAGAAGGCAAAGTATTCAATCAAGACGTGATCATTTTTCTGGCAGAGCAAAAATGTCATAGTTCTTTGGTATTTTGAAAATACATGTTTGGAGTCACACATGGGGTTTTGGTGTTTGGGTTTTTTTTATTATTATTGGTTTTTTTTTTATTATTTTTATTTTTTTTTTTTTTGACCAAATGAGATGGTTTCCCTGTACCCACAGTTCTATCAATGAAATATTTGTGTGGGGAGTTTTTAGTTTATAATCCTGGTTTGTAAATTGTAGAGTTGTTGCTCTAACGTTTCTTTTCTTGTAAACCACAGCTGCAGATGGTACTTTTACTGGCACAGACTTAAGGGGCCTTGGAAACAGAGCTTTACTTCCAGATGCATAATTGCTACTTTAACAGGATAGATGAGGTGCATTAACCTGAATCTCTGAATGAAGTTTAGCCAACACATTAAGATTCTTTGGATAAATCCAGACCTCTGTCTGTGGGACTATGCTAAATCATTTTAAAAGGAAGAAATTATAAAAGATGAATATAGCCCTAGATCATCCCTATCCATTTACCTCTTGCAGTCCCAAAAGGTCTGTACAGTGATGATGATATAATTAATTGGTTTGGATCTACTAATTGAAAAAAACTTTCAGCTGGCAGTACTTTGAAAGGGCTCTTACATTTCACATCTCTTTGGGCCACAACAGCTGTTTGCAGTGGGGCAAAATGCTGATTCAGGTTCCATTTCTAACTTGGGTGATGAAGTGCAGCTTTCTACTGTAGTGGCCAGATTGCAAAGGTACAGTTGGGAACAAGGGCAGTCAGAGAAGTTAAACTGCTGAGAAAAGGCTCTGGAGAAGAACCCAGCTCAAGCTTTACAAACCAGACAGCCATCCCCATCCATCCTGTGCATTCCTTTTTTAATTCATGTGACCATTGAGTGTAAACTGCAAAAGAAAAGTAATTGTAATGTTCCATTAAAATCTCGTATATGGTCTAAGTAAGTAACGTGTTCAACAAGAAAAAAAGAAATGGTTGGTTTATACACCAAAAACTTTATTTAAGCCCTCTTTGTTAGAAGGAGTCAGAAATAAATAAGGGGAACCTCAGGGCACTGGATCATATAGTAGAGATTCAGAAAACAACTGTTTCTCCTCTGAAGTCCTTAATCATCACTGCAGAACCAAAAGCAAGTGTCACATCATACTGTCCTGCTGTGGTTCCTGGGCAGCAGTTGTTGTTCCTTCACATTCTTCAAAACACAGATCAGTCACCTGAAGTTTTTAATAACAAATCTCACTTGGAGTGTGAACTGAAGCAGATGTGCAAATACAGAGGTCACACTTTGTCTTTGCCTTGCTTTCACTGCATAATTTACCTTTCTACAAGGAACACAAACTCTAGCTTGTTCTAAAAGTTTGAAATTTTTTCATCTCAACTCTGTGAACAGTTGCCAAGAGATCTGAGGAGGTTTCTTGTGGTACAGGGAGGGGAGTAACCAGGGCATGCAGAGAGCTGAAGGCATCGCTGCTGAACTCTTGTTATCCATAAACAGTGGTGTCAGTCACTCGTCTCAAGGTCTAAGGTCTAAAAGTTGCTCTGGGTAAGTGCTTTTTCATTCGTGTTTCATAAATACAAATAACTCTGTATGAAGGTAAGCAATGGAGAATAAGGCCTTTGGGGTTTATATCACTATTCCCTCCTAGATAGGGATTTATTGGTCAAAGTTTAGCTGGAAATAGCACATCTTCTGGGCTTGAAATATTTTGGTTGAAGTTATCCCATCTGGGGAGTTCTTGCCCAACTGAGCTCCTCTGGTTCCTGGAGCACTTGGCAGGTCAGCCCAGGCAACTCAGTCTTGGAGTTCTCTGTCCACTGGCACCAAGGAGTCTCCAGGGCTTTGAGGCTTGAAACTCCAGCTGGTGGTCTTGGGCTTCCCCTTCCAACCTGCTGTAAAGCTAAAAGCAAGAAAGTCCTGGGAGTTTGAACTCCACGCTGATTTCCATGTGTGGAAGTGGTAAGAGGCTTGGCTGAAGCAGGACTGCAGGAGCTCCTGCCCTCCCTGACATGGAGCTGTGACTTTGGGCAGGCTTCCCAGGGTGTCCTCAGCATCCAGGCTGCACGGGAGCCAGAGAGGCTTGGGAGCTCCCACAGCTACTGTGTGGGGCTGGTGTTTGCAGATGCTGCTGCTCTTGCCAGAGGCTATGTCAGTGATCAACCGCAGCCTTGGGAACTTGGGAATTGTGTTTTGGAAGTGTTTGGATGTTTCTGAAGTGACCTTTCTGGGAATTTCCAGTTTGTGGGCATTTTCAAAAGGGTTTGTTTCCTGCTTGATTTGGACCAAAGCCACCAATTCAGATAAAACCTCATTTCCTGCAGACTGGAGGCTTGGCTTGCCGGGCAGTTCTTCTGCTCATGCCCCATCTGCTCTGGAGTTGGGATGAAAAAGATTCCTCTGCCCTAACAGCTGAGGTTCTGCCGTCCCATGACCACTGAGGTCATCATTACTTGGCCATTACAATGTGTTCAATCACCAAGGTTAATAATATTTCCCTGCTGATTCCTTCAGTGAAAAGATTTCAACTCTTAAGCAAAAGTTGAGAACAGGATTTGGAGTTTTCAACATGGTCAGATTTCGGGAAAGTATAAGGTGACCTTTGTCTTCACTGAACATTTACATCCAGTAAATGTCTTTGTCTTTAGGGCCCTCTCTGGTAGTCAATGTTCATGTTTTAACTTCAAAGCTTCTAATACAATTTTGCATGGACTCTGACTGAAGAATAGCCTTCAGCAGGCAGTTGAATTATGGTTTTCTTTTTTTTTTGTGAGGAAGTGGCTGAAAGCAAACTTTGGGCTTATATGACATTTTGTGTATGCAGTAGATCCTTAAAGATAAAGCAAAACAGGATGAAACTTTGATTTGTAGCTCATGTAAATAATTCTCAGTGACATGGGCAGGTTTGTGTATCATGTATATTTTTATTGCATAAGCACTTATGTAACTGTGATGGCAGGAATTTGCATAAAAATCAAAGCAGCCATGCTTGGAGGGGTTTAACATGGGCTTTCCAGCAAACTGAAGTATCAGGAGAGCTTATCACTTAAGTGGAAGTTTACTTTAGGGGGAAAAGAGCAAATTTTATTGAAGTATATTAAAGCCACAGTGGATTTTTAATAAATAATCACAGGAAGTTTATCATTTATTGGTGACAGCATCAGGAGCCTCTGATCTGATGCAGAGAAATCCACGCTTGAAAGTTGCTGCCTAGTGAAAGTTAATGTGTGTAGCTGCAGTTTCATTTTGTTGGAAGCAAAAGTTATGGAGGCCTCTGAGGGAAAAGGGGGGATGCCTTGATGCAGGCAGGCTGAAGGTGCTGGGTACTTTGGCCTCCCATTGACTGTGGCACCCCTTAGACTGGGCTGTGTCGTGTCTCTTGTGCTGAGTGTATGAGCAGATTAATGAGAGGATCTCCTCTTTTTCCACTAATTTGGAACCCACACATGTGTTTCATCTGAGTGTCTCAGCTGAACTGTGGATGTTGTGGGGCTGCTTGTGAACATGTCTGATTTCTGTCATCTCCCAGAGGTCATGACAAGAACTCATTTGTGCTCTGACTGGGTGAGATTTATTGTGCTCCTGCATCCAGGAGGAATGGAGGCAGATTCAAAGAGCTGTGCAGGAAGGTTCAGCAAGGCACTAACAAATTCTCCTTCTCTTCCAGAATCTTTGTAATGTCTTGTATTTTGAAATGAATCATAAATTAACATGGCTTTTTCTTTTTTCCCCCCTGTTCTGCTCTATGATTATTTTCTTGTTCCTAATGAGTGTGTGACAGGAAGTCAGTGGTGCTGATGTAATTCTGTATAATGGATGAGCTCCTCACAGCAAGGACTTTGAGTAGTTAACCCCAGTTTAAAATAGACCTGATCACTTTTTACACCCCTTGATATTCTAAATTCCTTTTCAACTACATAGAAGGTGAAAAATTTTGACTATGATGGTAATTTGTCTGTGGAGTGTTCTGGAAAAGAACATAAATGCCCTCCTCGCTTGGCATTTTTTGTCCTAAACTAAGCCAAAAATGGGGGATGAGCAGTAAGGAGCAGTTTGGAGCACAGCCAGCCAAGGTGGATGATGTTACTCCGATTTCCCTACCTTGACTATTGGGACTTCCTGAGATTTTATTCTCACCTGGTGTCTTCAAGTTTTGTAGATGTTCTTCTTAGTAATTCCTACTTCCTGTTCACACATTTTGCAATTCTTTCTCTGAAAGCCTGATACCAGCTTTTCAATATATCAAAACAGACGAAAATATTGTTTCTTGTAATGATGAACAGGAACATTATAGGGAAAAATGCATGGTGTGCAGGAAATGTATTTTATGAAGTGAGACTGAACATAAGAGTCTCATAGATCAAAGAGCAGGTAAGTAAAATAATATTCATTAACACAGAAGAGAAGTTGATTTATGTGTTCAGGCTTAAAGTAGGGAGAGGCTGAACTCTGCTTTGACTGACATTTTGTTTACAATAGAATTGTAGAATTTACAATACAGTGAAATGTTATACCCAAATCCTCTTACCTTCCATTCTTCCTGTGCTCAACTTCACTCCCAAATTCTCTACCTTCTCTCCCCCAGTGACACAGGGGGACAGGGAATGGGGGCTGTGGTCAGTTTATCACACACTCCTTCCTCCTCAGGGAGGACTCCTCACACTCCTCCTCCCCTGCTCCAGGGTGGGTCCTTCTCATGGGAGACAGTTCTCCATGAACTCCAACATGAATCCTTCCTGCCATTCTCCATAGACTGCTCCAGCATGGGTCCCTCCATAGTTCAGGAGGGTTCAGGAACAGGCTACTCCAGTCTGGGTCACCCATGGGGTCACAACTCCTTGCCAGCAAACCTGCTCCAGTGTGGGCTCCTTTCTCCGTGGGGCCACAGGTCCTGCCAGGACCCTGCTCCAGCATGTGCTTCCCATGGAGTCACAGCTTCCTTTGGGCATCCCCTGCCTCCAATATGGGGCCCTCCAGGGGCTGCAGGGGGATCTCTGTACCCTCAGGGACCTCCA